TTTTTTTTTTTTTTTTTTTTTTTTTGTCCTTTTTGAAACCGGCCGCACCGCACTCAGCCAGTGAGCGCACCGGCCATCCCTATATAGGATTCGAACTCGTGGCGGGAGCGCAGCGCTCCCGCACTCCCACTGCCGCACTCTCCTGAGTGCGCCACAGGCTCATCCCTCAGTTCATTTATTAAAAAGGCGTTTTAGACCTCTAAATTTTCTTGCATCTATGCTGTGAGTCTCACATTTCATTTTGACAGTTCAGGTAATGGCAGCTCATTGTGTCTTCAATGGTGCATAAAGAGATGTTGTAAAAAACAAAATCAGATTTACTTATTGAGCCTCTATTGTGTGTAAGACGCAGTTCACAGAGAGGTATGAAAAGGAGTCACTTGTTCTTGAAGGGTGCTGTGGCATTAAGAAATCTTTATGTATTTATTTTTTTACCACGTCAGTATTTTTAATGTAGGATAGGAAAATATTAAAAACAGTGACTCTTCTACCTAATATTTAATTGTATAAAAAATTACTCACAATATTCCATTCTGTTGTTTTTCTTTTATGTCTTTAAAACATGCTCACCTCTTTCCTACTTTAGGGTCTTTTCCTATACATTCTTCTTTACTAGGAACTTTGTTCCTCCTCTTAAAATTTCTAGTTCCTTCTCATTCACCAGGCCTGTACAAGTCATTAGTACTGCTCATCAATATCCAATTTTCCTTTCTTTTCAGGCACATGGGAAATTGTACATCTCTGCTCCCTTTAAGATGATGTATAGCCATGTCATGTGACTTTTTATTGCCAATAACATGAGAACAGAAGTGTCACTTCTAGGCAAAAGCTTTTAAGGGCCAGCGTGTAAGTCACCATATCCTCCTCCTCTGCTTCAGCAACCATGGAGACGTGTTGAGATGGAGTCTCCTTCACTCCAAGTCCCTAAATAACTAAGAGAATCAAAGCTCCTCTGCCAACTTACATTGGACACTTGGTTATATATAGTTAACTGAAATTAGCCTTTATTTATTAAGTAAACAAAGCATAGAGATTTTGTGGTTGGTTGTTGAAGCAGCATAACCTAGATCAACCTGACTAATACAAGGTCTCAGATTAAATGGCATCTCTTCAGAGTGGAATTTCTTACACAATCACTTAAAATCCCTTTAATCCATTATCTTAGAAATCTCTTTCCTTCAGAGCACTTATCACTATATATGTACTTATAGTTTTATTTTTTTTAACAGATGAATAACAAAATACTCTGCAGAAAGTAGGGCTTCAAATTTTCACAAAAACTGGAGGTCTAAAAAATTAAAATTTACATATTTCATTTTATAATCTCTACAATTATTTGGAATAGCTCTCTAAAGTCTTCCAAAAGCATGCAAATATCAAATTAATTTCAACAGAAAAAGATGAATAAACTTCTCAAAGGCAAATTAATTTCTAATCAAATCAACAAGTCCACTTAATAAAAGAAAATCAAGAACAGAAATTAAATATCTAAGTTTAGAAACATAAATTGCATAAAAAGTCAATAAAACATTGTAAACACAAGAGCACTTCAGAAAGTTTGTGCAAAAATAGAATAAAAAGATAATGGAAATTTTTTTTTTTAAAGACTAAGATCATAGAAGATATGTTCTCTGACCACAATAACAGAAGGAAATTCTTTCCATGAACTTTTTGTTTCTTTAAGTTCTTACATTTTTTTTAAAGACTAAGATCATAGAAGATATGTTCTCTGACCACAATAACAGAAGGAAATTTAGAAAACTCACAAATGTGTCAAAATTAAACAACACTTTCCTAAATAAACAATGGGTAAAAAGAAAAATCGCAGAGAAATTAGAGAGTACTTTGAGATAAAGATAAAAACTCCAACTTATCTGTATCAAAATTTATAGAATGCAGGGTTAATGCAGTGCTTAGAAGAAAATTTACACTTGTAAACAACTATATTAAAAATTAGAAAAATCTCAAATCAGTAATGTAAACTTCTACCTTAAGAAAATAAGAAAAGTAGAGCAAACTAAACCAAAAGCAAATATAAGTAGGAAATAGCAAAGATTACAACAGAACTATATGAAATAAGGAATTAAAAAACAGTAGAGAAAATCAACAAAACCAAAACTTGATTCTTTCTTTCTTTTTATTTATTTATTTATTTCATAAATTTTAACTTCTCTATATACATTGTACTTGATTTTTGTGACCCTTTACCTGTTCCTCTTCCCCCCCTCTATCTCCTCCCCCACCTCATATCTGTTCACTTGTTTTAACAAGATCAAGGAATTGTTGTGATTGTTCTGTCTTCTCCCCCCCGTATTTCTTTGTGTGTTTATTTATTTATTTATTT